GCTTCTCCCAGCCCTACCTGCCTCTGCCAGAGGTGGCGCGCGACCCCCCAAAGGAAGGTGAGGTGCTCACACTCTATCTGGTTATTGCCTTGGCATCTGTGTCTACACTCTTCTTGTTGTCTGTGCTGCTGTTCGTGGGGGTGAGGCTGTGCAGGAGGGCCAGGGCGGCCTCTGTGGGTGGCTGCTCTGTGCCTGTAGGACACTTTTCTGACCACCTGGTGAACTTCAGCGGTGAGGGGACTCTGTCGCAGAACTACCAGTATGAAGTGTGTCTGAATGGAGACTCTGGTACCTCTGATTTCCGATTTCTGAACCCAAGCATTCCCTGTAGTCTGCTTCAGGATCCCTAGCTAAATCTTAGTGTTGGGGACACCTAGGTTCCAGTATGTGAATCAGAATTATTTTCTTGGTTTTTGAATTTTTCTTTTGCATTCAACAATCTCTCCCGGAGAAATATATTCTTATGCTTATTTTATTCATAAATTCTCATGGTGTATTTTTCTTTTTGGTTTTGTGTTTCCTATTTTATCAATCTAGGCTTAATGCATCTTTTTCTTTCACTGATTTTGGAGGAGAATAAACAACTTTGCTGTATTTCTTTGGTCATTTCAAATAGTGTTCTTAGGACTCATGTCTTCCTCTGCATTTATAACCATGTTAGGAAATCTACCCACCTCAAATTGTATCATTTTGAGCTAAGCATGGGACTTACTAAGTAGTATTTGTTTTGTTTTTCACTTTCACTGCTCTTTATTAACTGTTCAAAGTAGTTTTCATTAAGACACTTTCAGAGATGTACATTCCATCCCTTGATAACATTCACCCACTTATCACCTTCTATAATCCTGATTTTTTTTTCTCCCCATCAAACTCTTGAATGCTGTATTTTGCCTTTATGTGTTTCTTGTATTTTAGATTGTGACTATTTAAATGCCCTGCCGTTTCATTTCGTATTCTGAAAATGACAGTTTCATTCTTCTTGATATCTGAATAAAGCAACTCCATCATGCATGTTTGTGTTTTTTCCACCTATGCTTCTGCTATACTAGTGAAGCAGCTTTGTCTACAGCTAATGAAGTGTGAGCACAAGATGCATTCATCTATCATATTTTTACATGTTTTGTACACAAATGGCAGTGAAGAGTTTATTATTTTTACTGACTACCACAATTAATATTTCAGGACTTTATTTGCTCATATACAAGCCAAAACTGCTCCTAAAATGTACCAGAAATGACCTTTCTTGACCTAAGCCACTGTAAGTCACTGTGTGTTTTTATTTGGTATAAGAAGACACCTGTGAGGCATGTGTTCTGATGATAAGTTGATTTGTAAATCCTGGATATAAATGAGGGCACATTAAACTTTCAACAAAATATGCAAGTGAATGACTTTTAAGTGTTTTAGTCTTTTTACTATTAATTCATACTTGCCACAAATAGGGTGACTCAGAGGAAATATTTTCATTGAGTCCCATCAGTGGGTTCCTTTTTTTCCTGTTTCTATTGCCATTATATACGATTATTTGGAGATGAACTGTCAATTCATACCTACAATTTTGTAATTAAGTGGTATACAAATATAGGATATGTGAAGAAAAAACATTATCATTATCTAATCTATGGAACATTATCTAAATCTTAAAATAACATTTTGAAACAATCAAACCCCCAAAATATGGCCATTTTGAGTAATTTTTAAAAATTTACATGACAAAGCATTATTTCCTGGTTAAATTTATTTTAAAATGTGTTTTCATATTTCCAGAAATATTGATCTAGTATTTGAATGTTACTGCCTAAAAGAAAATAATTAAACTTATTGAAAAAGTTGAATATTTTGTAAAACTCTGAAAAGACATAAATTGAAGATTGGCATGTTCTTAAAAGTCAGTCAGTGTAGTTGTATAGTTATAACTGCAGGAGAACTACCTTGCCAGAAGCTCCCCAGTACCAAAAACTTCACGTAAAACGAGCATTGCAAGCATGAATTGTGAATAATCAAAAAATCTTTCTGTTTGGTGCCAATAATTGTGTATGAAATTTTTAATCAGATTTTCCCACTTTTCATACTTATTTTCATTTTCATGAAAATCATGTAATTCATACAGGAGAATTATTTTTGAGAGGCACTATACCATATGATATCAGATGGAAGTTGGTAGGTCTATATACTGATGAGCCCATTTACAACTTTAAAATAAAACATAAGATATCTGTAGGTGTGTGTGTGTTTGTGTCCACGAACTGGGGCCTAAGGTAAACAAAGTATGCACACTATCACTAAGCAGAACCCCCAGCTCCTGACCTTATTGGTAAATTAATTTGTGGGTGGTCTATATTTATACATCAATGAGAAAGAGAGCAGAATACTTCCAAGCCAAAGAGATAACCTGGACTGAATTTGAAGACAAAGAACAATCAATCTTGGTTCAAAGTAGTTTTTGTTTTCTGCAGTTAGAAATCATTTATCCATTTATTTGAACAGCTGTACCAGTGTGCCTTGTTCCCAGGACCCCTTTATGTGGAGATTTTACTAAGTGCAGGACTCAGGGAAGGTGCTATGTGTATTGCAGTAACTATTGGTGCACTTTGGGCCATTTACAAACTGCAAGTCTGATGTCAGGAAAAGAGACGACTTTGTCTATCAATTCTCTTGTGACAAGTTTACTAATGTACAAACTGACATTACTGATATTTCAATTTTTGAGGAGGAAGTAGAATTAAACAAAATTTTGAATCCCCTTACTCCTAAATAACTTCAGTAAACTCTAAATAATCTGAAAAGGCTGTTTTGGTTTTATTCATAGTTGAACTTGTAGCACATAATGCAATGCTTCACTCAAAACAGATGTTCAATTTGTGTACATTGAGTAATTAACTTGAAACATTTAGGAACTCAGTGAACTTTCTGAGAACTTAGAGATTTATACCAAACTTATTTATACAGTGAATTTCAAAAGAACTATTCATACTCAGAAGAGGGAACAAAAATTAATTTTGTCAGGAAAACACCAATCTCTATGGAGCCATTTTAAATGTAGATCTCTGAGAACTCAGAGAAGAGTAAAAAAAAAAAACACATTTATATATAATTTGGTTCCAAATTTATTTCATTTGTGTTTTTTATTTTAGGGATGGGATGAAAAAATAAAAGATTTTTTTTGTTCATCCAATTAATCTCCAGAAATCTCTATTTAAATTCTTTGATCTCTAACTGGTGCTTCTAATGACTTTTGCTTACTGTTTTTAGCTTCAAAATTAAATTAAAATTTCAAGGTAGAGATTCAGTCAGTCATTTTCAAAACATAATAAAGTATCTACTCTTCCTCATTTTTCTATAATGACATCAATTCAGAAAATTATTTTCTAGAAAATCCATAGTTCAATTTCAATGCATGACAATAGTTTGGTTATTCACATACTTAAGAATTAAAGTTGTTTTTTTCTCCTGTTCTGTCATTCAGTAAATACTGTTGATTGCAAGTTTTGTGTCAGCCATATTCTCAATTCTCAGTCTCTGTATGAAAAACACCGTTCCTGCTATTTCCCCAGAGCAGAGAACTGATAAACCTCATTTTCTTTTTAGATTATTTCAATTATTTACCACGTTCTGATATTTGTTATTCCAGAACTCAAGAGTCATGTAATACACTGCATATTTGCAATACCATATCTTCTTTTTTTAATAAAAAATCCACTTTATATATTGTCATAGCAACTTTTTTTTAACTTACCACACAGCTGTCATTTTCTACTTTAGATTTCACCAAATCGAATCTCTTTTACTTGCACTCTTTCCATGTAGTTATGAATCTCTATGTCCTAAGGGAGAGAAGTAACATGGAACTTCTCCAGTCTTTTTTTCCCTGGCTTTAGTCATTCTTAGTGATGATGTTTTATCAGCTACTTGCCTCCTTTTGAAATTCCCTCATGCTCTCCTGGCTTTAATGGACAATTTGCACTCATGTTTCAACAGATTCAAGCCTTGATGAAGAAGGTTGGCTCAACTTTGTCATACATGGCTAGAAGTTCTATTACACTCCTAAAGTTGTGTTTTAGCTAAGCCCAAACAGCCTGGGAGCCTGCAATTCTGCATTTGCTTTATGAAGCCAATATCTTAGAGAATGTCTCCTTCTTCATAGCTATTATTGTGTCTGTTAAGGTGGTAGACATGAGACCCTGTGCGAATATTTTTAATTAAATTTTATTTTTTATATTAATTACAGTTTATTTACTTTGTATCCCAGCTGTAGCCCCTTTCCTCAATCCCAACCTCCCTCACTCATCTCCCTGCCCCTCTCTAAGTCCACTGATGGGAGGGTACTCCTCCCCTTCCATCTGACCCTAGCTTATGATATCTCACCAGGACTGGCTGCAATGTCCTCTTCCAATATTTTTATAAAGTGATAACTGAAAAACCACATGGAAAGCATGGCACGGTGGAACATTACTTTATCCCAGATTTTTGCAGACAAAAGCAGGCAGACTTCTGTGAGCTTGAGGCCAGCCAGATCTATACAGTGAGTTCTAGAACATCCATAGCTACATACAGAAACCCTGTCTCAGAAGAACAATAAAACTACACAAACACATGGAAAAATTTACAGCCTTGATATTGGCAATAAATGTGCAAATTTGATGATGCCTAGCAACAGTAAGACACAATCCAAAATTCCTGTTCTGAATGAGTGATTGCTACTTTTAGGCTCCAGTAATGTGGCAAAATTAACTCGACACCCTAAATCCAATTCCCTCCCCATAAATCCATATATCTAACATTACTATTGTAGTAACAAATATCAGAGCAGCAACTACTTATCAAATCATTCTGTGGCAGTAAACTGTGACAATACCAGGCACAAATATAATAAAAGAAAAAAAACCCTACATACCTATTTGCTTTTTCAATGCTGATGTAAAAATTCTCAAGAGAATACTGGCAAACTGATGGCAATAACAGGTGAAATTGTGTATCATAGCTATAAAGAATTTATCTGGGAACAAAATTGGTTCATCATACAAAATCAATA